GAAAGGAGCTTCTAATATTTTGTAATGTATTCACTAAACCCAGAACTGAGGAAAATTATCAAAATGAAAGCAAATTCTAAGTCAGATTGGCCAAAACAGGCTTATGGAAGCTCCCCTCTTTTTGTCATTACAAAATAAGTTTGCCTTTTCTTGGAAAAAAAACCTAAATATTCAAAAAGAAGAAAAATATGCTCTCTTATGGTTATGACTGCACAAAAATAACAAGAGTTTGATATTGTAGCTATCTGGGATTAAAATTACTATGCAGATCAAACATATTATTCATTAAAACATCTGTTATAAGTTGATTTCAAAGGTGTCTTTAAATTCTAAGGCAAATATATTAGTGATTAATTTTTTTGAAGTGACTTGCTTCCCATTAAAAGACAACTCGGTGTCGGAGAAAACAAAACACGATAAGAATTATTGCCCATAAAGCAGGTAATTAACATGACATTAAATGTCCTTTTAATTCACTTTCTAATGCTAGGATGCAAAGTAAATTGGTCCAATTTGCTCCTTCCTGCTAATAATTTTTAATGTGATCAGATGGAATGCAGATTTATGCAAATACATGCTATTAAAAACCAGAAAAATAACTGAGTGTTTTCAAATGGCAGGCCTCCTCATTTTTGTCAATGTGCCACTTTGATAGCAAGGTGGAAAAAAAGAAAATATTTGTGTATGTGTGTGTAAGTGCAAAACATAATTAACCCTGATATTTTAGGGTGCATTGCCATAATATATTTGCAGGTAGTTGGTGGAATGTGGAAAGGTTGGTTTGGATGGGAATTAATGCCATTAAGGTCAATGTGATAAACTTTGACTGCCATTAAAATATCACAATAGGGTCAAGAGCACAAACATGTATTCCTGACCATTCCGTGTTTAAAACAAGATCTAGCACTCGTGTCCCCTAAATATATTAAAATCTTACCTTTATCCCAGTCTGCTGCTGCTGGCTATGCCCCTGATATGCCTCTTTGGCTGACATCATCAGAAGTGGTGAGCTAAGGCAGTTGCAATGCTTTCCCATATTGGATTGGCTGAAATTGCCAAGGAGGCAGATCAGGGGCAGAGCCAGCACAGGTCAAACACAGCCCTGGTCAATCATCATCTTCTCATAGAGAAACATCTGATTAGATTTGAATGTAATCCCTGTTTATTCTCCCATGAACTCTCATAAACTCTTTTACAACTAGTTAATTTACAACTTGCAATTACAATTTAAAATAAAATGTTAATTTACAACTTGAAATTACAATTTAAAATAAAATGTGTTTAAAGTACGTTTTCCCCCCAAGTCACTATTGTTGCCTAAGATTTGCAATTGTGTTCTAAATTCACAGTAATTCTGTATTTAGTAACCAAACCTCTATATGTTAAATTAGATCTAATGCTCTAAACCAGATCTCACCTATTCTATATTTTAATATACATATTACATTTTACATTTTATATATTCCTTTCTAAAACGTATGCATTTTCCATTTATTCCTGTTTATGTATTATACTTTCTTGAATGTGATCTATGAAATCTTTTGCAAATACATCTGGATTTTTAAAGTGAAGGATCTGCATCCATTTTTTATATATCCACTTTCTTTCAAAACTTATGAATGATAGAGATTGTATGGTTTTACCAACTTGAAAAGAAAAATAATAAAACATCTCCAGTTTTCAAAAATAGTACGCAGTTAAGATTGTCCCTTTAGAGAAATGTAGTATGAAAGGAAAGTGCTGACTGTTTTATTCTAATGCTTTTCAATATAAGTTGAAATGAAATCAAATACTGCAAAGACTAATTAATGTTTCTTCAATTGTCTGCACCTTAAAAGAACATATTGTTTCTGAATATAAACTTGATTTCATTTTTTTTAATACTATTTAAATTTACTTGGCGGCAGACAAAGTTACAGTAAGTATTCGGGGCATGGCCAGGACGCTGATCAAGATGGACACTTAATCACAGCGCTCCGCTCCACCAAAGCCCTAACTAAGCTTTTATAAGCATTCCCTATATGCTGTTACCGACAAATGGGCTGCAACAGGAGGTCTGAGCACCCCCACACCCCGGGGGGGCCCACCCAAAACCAAAATTACCCCAGGGCCCGATGGACGGATATGTCCGCTCGCAACGGGGCCCGGATGACGGGGCTGACAACCTGGGATCGGGGCCGCCATCTCCAGCCTCAACAGCCGGCACCGAGCCGACAGCACTGGATCGCATTGGAGAAGAGTTGCGTATTATAGCAACCTCCATGTGACTAAAAGCTATCTCCTTACCCACACTACCTCCATACAGGATGCCCTCCGGGCAGAAATTGCGGGGATCCGGTCGGAGGTTGGCTCCCAAGCAGGCCGCATCCAAGCAGTGGAAACGGCCCTAGAGACACAAGTAGCCAGGAGTTCCATGCTTGACACTGCGGTCGCCAGGCAGGGGGACCTCCTACTTACCATGCGGCGTGCCATTGAAGATCTCGATAACAGGGGCCGCCGCTGCAATATACGGATCCGGGGAGTCCCTGAAGCGGATGGCGAGGAGAACGTGGAGGAGCTCATCTCTGGCCTGTTTTACAATATTTTGCAGCAGGAGGCGCCGGCTCATTTTAAATTTGAAAGGGCACACAAGGCTCTGCGGCCCCGAGCGCCAGACGAGGGACCTAGATATATGATTTGCTGCCTCCATTCATACCGACTCAAGGAGGCCATCATGCACAAGGCGAGGGAGCGGCCCACGTGGCACTACATGGGCGCGCAAGTAGCCCTCTATAATGATTTGTCCCCGATGACGCTGGATGCCCGGAGGGCTCTTCGGCCAGTTACCACCATGCTGAGGGAACGCGGGATTCCGTAAAAATGGGGGTTCCCGTTTGCCCTTCTTGCTTGCACCCAGGACGGATGGATCTCGGCCCGCCACCCGGAGGAAATACTGCGCCGGTCCCCAACTGGATCTTGGAGACACCGGGCCCACGGCCCCGACCTCAGAGGATGCCCGGGGCCTTCGCCGCGCAGACGTCCGGATTAAAGAGACCCAGGGGAGTAAGTATTAGGCGGTCGCAAGGACACTGACGGCCTAGTCACTCGTCCGCAACGCAGCTCATACCCCTGAAGCACGACCCTGCTCTCACCTGGCACTGTGGGACACTCCTAAGGACATTGCATTGGTAGGTCAGCATGGACCAGGTTGGGAGGGGGGCCATGGGAGAGGCAGTCCTATTTTGGGTATCATTTTTGGGGGTTTGGGGGTGGACAGGGGCTCTTGGAGGGGGATAGCTAATGTGCCTTGTTTCTCCAGGGAGAGTGTGGGGGATGCCCGGGGTGGGGGGAGGGTGGGAGAGAGGGAAAGGGGAGAGGGAGAATGGCGAAGTGGGGGCACTACATAGGAGATTATTCAGAGCCGGGATGGCCTCAAACGAACTATACAATAGCCATGGGACGATGATATCAAGGTGACTGTCGGGTGCTTACGGGGGAACCTGTGGGGGGTTGGGGGGGGGTTGGTACAGATGTTCAATTTCTTATTTTCCCTCCCCCCCCTTTCCTTTCCTTTTTTTTTTTTTTCCTTCTTCACGAGAGTTGACGGTTTACACTTCGTCCCTCATACTGAGTGAGGAGGTGGAGGAGGGGGGACGCTTCTGCGTCTGCACGCAGCTATACCCCCGCACCACAGTTTTCTGCTGCTGCGACCCGAGTAGCCCTTGCGGGGCCTGGTGCCGGTGAACCCTTCTCCTAGGCCTTCACTATAGGGGATTTGCAAATGTTAGCCACGAGGCACAATTACAGGGTGGGAGAAATATGCACAGGGTCCCGGATCATTTCTAGGTGCAGATCTTTTTCCCGGCATACACATAACGTGGTGAGTCTAGCATACCGAGCTATAGGGTGGGGAGCTGCCGGGGATGGGAAATAGCGGGCCCATGGACCACAGGATACTTCCCACATGTGGGGGGGGGGAGGGAGGACATAGGCGAGTGCCCGTCACTGCACTCATCATGGCGCCTGCGAGATAGGGGGAACCCCGTCTCTCTCCTTACATGCTATCGCGGGCGCCATCATGACTGCACGTGTAGAGGCCTGGGGGAGGATGTCCACTGCTAGTTAGTGGGGCCCTCACTGTCCTAGTATGGCCGGGGCCACGGGGTAAGGCTGGTGGGGATTTGGTAGGCTCATTATTCCTACTCCATTGAGCCTTAGCCATCTCGGCTTATGTGGCTCTATGAGCCATGGGACCTTTTCTTCCTAGGTATGCTTTTCTTTCTTAAGTTTAGGGCACGTCACCAGGGGGCACGTCACCTTTTGCTACACCACGATACTCTGGGCGCAGTGTATTCTGTAGGACCTCGTTGGGTATGGGGGGTTAGGGGATTGCTCTTTGGGGGCCCATGAGGGATATGGGGATTGCTTAGTTCCAACTGGAGGGCGCAAGGGGTGAGTCTGACGGCTGGGCGGGGGGGCCGGACTTGTTGTCCTTATACAAGGGCCTATTTTGTTGAGTATGTAATAGCATATTAGTTGCATAAGGAATGTTAAAGTATATGCATGTCATTAGCTCCGCTGGGCATTCTGGAGACTGACTACACCATACCGACACACACCTAGACGACACGTATCTGGACAGTACGTAACACACGTACCTTAACACACACTCGTGCACTATCTCGCACGGTGGGACCCAGGCGGGCTGCAGTCCGGTTCGGTTATCGGAGCAGGCCCACGGGTGTTGCACTGTAGCACGAGTAGCCTCTTTACGGGGCCACGACAAGACTGAGAGATTTCTTCTTACACCAGTTGGGAAGCCCTTGATCTAGGGCGCTTTCTTTCTCTTTACCTTCCTGTTCTTTCTGACCCCCTTTTGGTCCCTGCGCTGCTCTCCCTCCCCACGCCCCCCCCCCTTGTGTCCCCGCTGCACACGGGGCTTCCGGACTGGGGCTCTCGTGGTACTTACTGGGGGTGGTGGGGGATAGGCGTTTGCAGGGCCTGGTAGACGTGACGCGGACATGGCATACAAACCCGACCCTATCTCTGTCCTCACTATTAACTGTAGGGGGCTTAATATACCAGAACGAAGAGCCCACTTGCTTCGCGACCTGAGGAGGAAAAATATTGCTATAGCCTTACTCCAGGAAACGCACTTTCGAGCAGACGCAATGCCGAAGCTGCAGAATACCACCTATCCGAAAAGCAACTTCTGCAGGCATCCGACACAACGCAAAGCCGGGGTGGCCATTCTATTGGCATCGAAACTGGAATTCCAGGAGCCTGACGTCATGCGAGATCCTCAGGGTCGATATCTATTCCTGAAAGGATATCTCCTGAATAAAACCTACACGTTGGCTTCCATCTATGTACCCAATAAGGGACAAGCACCATTCCTGTGGAATATCCTGTCGAAATTACAACTCTTCGCGGAAGGGACCCTCATCCTGGGAGGTGATTTTAATGTGCCTCTGGACCCGATTCTGGATTAGTCGACAGGACATAGCAGTATCCCGCAATGCAGCATATGGTCCATCCGTCGGGCGCTAGGTGACATGGATTTGGTTGACCTTTGGAGGACCCTCAATCCACAGACGAAGGATTATACGTGGTATTCAGCCCTCTATAATCGATACTCCCGTATCGATTATGTCTTTATCAGGCAAATTGGTCTCCCGAGATTGTGCGCGGCTAGGATAGATCCGGCGACGTGGTCGGACCATGGAGTGGTTCACATCACAATGGAATCTCCGCTTTATCGCCCTGCCAAGTGCACGTGTCGACTCATCGAGGCGTTACTGTTAGACCAGTCACTCAAAGACCAGATCTCGCGGGACCTAGAGCAATATTTCCAAGATAACAGGGCTGCTGACATAAGAGCTGACATAAGAGCGTGATTAGAGGCACATTTATTCGCATTGCCTCCCAAAAGAAGAAAGAAACACAGAGAGTGATGGCTGACTTATACAGCAGAATTGCAGCATTAGAAACCCAACACAAACAATCGCAACTGCTGTCGACGTTCGGAGAATTAACGCAGGCAAGAAGGCAACTGAAGGAACTCCTGACGAAGCGCTACCTCTGCTCTTTACAACGGTCCAGAGGCTTCTTTTATACGCATGCCAACAAGAGCGGTCGATACCTGGCGAGACTACTGAAAGGAGACTCGCCTCGATCTCAGGTTCGTCAATTGCACCTCTCTTCGGGTATTGTCTCCACACACCCAACGGAAATTGCTGCAGAATTTCGAACGTATTGCGAAAGATTATATAACCTACAACTTCAGAACCGACACCCTATGGAGACTGACGACCCTCGACTGCGAGATTACCTTAGGGCGGCGGAGCTGAAGACACTGCCGCCTGACGTGGCTTGCGCTCTTGATGGTCCGATTACGGAGGGGGAACTAGCGGCGGCACTGAAGTCAACTTAAACAGGAAAGGCACCGGGACCTGACGGCTTTCCCGCGACTTACTATAAAACATTCACGGTGATTCTCTTACCATGGTTGTCTAAATCTTTAGCGGCGACTATAACAGTCATTCCAAAGCCTGGTAAGAACCCGAGACACTGTGGTAATTACCGCCCCATTTCCCTCTTGAATGTGGACACCAAACTGTTCACTAAAGTACTGGCCACCAGACTTCAAGCGCCATTGCCGGGCCTCATACATATGGACCAAACGGGGTTCATACCGGGACGCGAGGCACGGGATAGCACCCTCCGGGTGTTTGCAGTTCAACATCTGGCGAAGAAAACACAACAACGCCTTCTCCTACTTTCTACTGATGCCGAGAAGGCATTTGATCGGGTGCATTGGCCTTTCATGGTGCCTACGCTGAGGGAAATGGATCTGGGGCCAACGTTCCTCACATGGCTCCAAGCCCTCTACCGCAACCCTCGGGCAGCGGTCAGAGTCAATGGGGCACTTACGGAAGATTTCCTGATAACAAACGGCACACATCAGGGTTGTCCTCTGTCCCCCTTACTTTTTGCCATAACTCTAGAACCTCTACTACAGATGATTCGTCAAAACCAGGATGTCCAAGGATTCCACTGGCAGGGAAAGACGCACAAGGTAGCCGCTTACGCGGACGACCTCCTCTTCTTTATCCGCAGTCCCAGAATCACGTTACCATGCTTAATGGTGGAGTTTGAAAAATTCGGCCTCTTATCGGGTTTTAAATTAAATATAACCAAATGTGAAGTACTCAATATAACGCTTCCGGAGGATGAATACAGAGCTTTGGAAACGGTGTTCCCTTTTAAGTGGTGTAGTATTAAAATGAAATACCTTGGAATCTGGATAACCTCCAACCCGAAAGACCTGTACTCTCATAATTATACCGCTCTCCTCCACACAATCTTAGCGGATCTGTTGAAGTGGGCTTACCCACTCATCTCGTGGCAGGGACGGGTAGCAGTGCTCAAAATTAATGTTTTGCCTAGGCTCCTCTATCCATTCCAGCCGATCCCGCTCACTGTGCCTACATCCTTTTTCACTAAGCTGAGGTCGGCGGTCATCCGGTATGTCTGGCGTGGACAGCGGCCGAGACTCAAACATGCAATACTGTGCCTACCCAGACATTGCGGAGGATTAGGTCTCCCAGATTTTAAAAAATATTACCAAACTAAAGAAGTGAAATACATATGGGGATTTCCCAAATGTCTCAGGATCTTCTGGAGAGAAAAAAATGAAAAATTTACAACTCTGGATGCCTTGAGAAAATGGATGGAAGAAAAATCAATATCGGGTGCAACATAGTTACGGATAATAACTAATAATTGAAGATGCCTTGAAGCCGTCTGGACGAAAAAGGACAATCATAATTACTTTTTTTTTTGAATCACGATATCAAGATAGGGTGTGGGTTGGGGTGTAAGAATTGATAGAGATAAAGTAGGGGTAGGAGATAACAATAAGTTAAATTTAAAGAACAAGTGTTGGTATAAGAGGAAGTCGGATTTATTGGTAATATGTTTAAGAAGTATGGTAAGAGTTAATATTATAAAGGGATAAATTAAGCATACACAGTGGGTAAATTTATAAAGTGTCAGGATGCAATAGTAATAAGTATAAGATGTATGGTTGGATTTAACACAGTAAAGTGATGGATTTTTTATACACAGTAGGGAAATTTATAAAGTGTTAGGATGTATTGGTAATTCGTATAAGAAGCACGGAAGGACTCAATATAATAAATGGATGGATTTTGTATACACAGTGGGGAAATATATAAATTGTTAATGATTATATACAAATAATTATTATTGGACCTAGGATGTATGGTTGGATTTAACACAGTAAAGGGATGGATTTTTTTATACATAGTAGGGAAATTTATAAAGTGTTAGGATGTATTGGTAATTCGTATAAGAAGCACGGAAGGACTCAATATAGTAAATGGATGGATTTTGTATACACAGTGGGGAAATATATAAATTGTTAATGATTATATACAAAGAATTATTATTGGATCTAGGACAGTGATGGCGAACCTTTTTGAGCCCGAGTGCCCAAACCGCAATACATGCCAACTTTTTTTCCCTCAAAGTGCCAACATGGCAATTGAACCTGAATACTGAGGTTTAAGTTTAGAAAAAACAACTCGTACAGTTGTCCGAACTAATTAACAACTTTTGTTTTAAAAAAAGAACACAACAGAGAGTTCAATGATATAATGATATAAATAGATAAAATTAAGCTTATACTGTATTTATTAGTATCTCTAACAAATGCAATACATACACACACACAGACTGCTGAATACACACACACACACAGACTGCTGAATACATACACACAGTCTGCTGAATACACACACAGTCCGCTGAATACACACAGACTGCTGAATATACACACACACAATCTGCTGAATACACACACTGCTGAGTACACACAGACTGCTAACTACATATACACACACACACACAGTCCGCTGAATATACACACTGCTGAATACATACACACATACACAGTCTGCTGAATACACAAACATACAACTGCTGAATACACACACACACAGTCCGCTGAATACACACACACACAGTCCGCTGAATACACACAGACTGCTGAATACACACACACACAGTCTGCTGAATGCACACACAGACAGACTGCTAAATACACACACAGACTGCTGAATACACACAGACTGCTGAATACACACACACGCAGTCTGCTGAATACACACACGCAGTCTGCTGAATACATACACACAGACTGCTGAATACACACAGAGTCCGCTGAATACACACACAGCTGAGTACACTTAGACTGCTGAATACATACACACACTGCTGAGTACACACAGACTGCTGAATACACACACATACAGACTGCTGAATACATATACAGACTGCTGAATACACACACACAGACAGCTGAATACACACACACACACACACAGACAGCTGAATACATACACACAGACAGCTGAATACATACACACACCCAGACAGCTGAATACATACACACACACTGCTGACTACACACAGACTGCTAAATATATACACTCACACACAGACTGCTGAATACACACACAGACTGCTGAATACACACATTGAGGGGTGCAGTGTATGTGTTTGTGTGTGGAGTGCTGTGCATACACACACACTGCTGACTACACACAGACTGCTAAATATATACACTCACACACAGACTGCTGAATACACACACAGACTGCTGAATACACACATTGAGGGGTGCAGTGTATGTGTTTGTGTGTAGAGGTACTGTGTGTGGTGGGGATAGGGGTGCTGTGTGTGGTGGGGGTAGGGGTGCTGTCTGTGGTGGGGTTAGGGGTGCTGTGTGTGTGTGGGGGTGCTGTGTGGTGGGGTTAGGGGTGCTTTGTGTGTGTGGAGGTGCTTTGTGTGTGTGTGGGGTGGGGGGTAGGGGTGGTAAAGATACATTTAATAATAATAAAAAAAAAAGGCATATCAAATCTGTATCCCTCCCCCCCTTCTTCCCTCATACCTTTGGTGAAGGAGGGAGGACACAGCCATCCCTGGTTGTCCGGTGCTGGTAAGTACTGTGTGGAGTAGCTCTCCTGTCCTCCTGCGCGATGCTGTGTGGAGCGTTGCCATTGTAACGCGCAGCAACGCTCCACACAGATTGCTCGCAGGAGGACAGGAGTACTGCTTCACAGATCCCTCCCCCTGCCTCCCGACACAGAAGCAGAGTAGGCGCCTGCCATATCGGGCAGGCAGGTGCCTACTCTCCATTGATGCAGGCAGCCAGTGGCTCCTTCGCCCGGCGACCTATGGCCGCGTGCCCACAGAGAGGGCCTGGCGTGCCACCTCTGGCACACGTGCCATAGGTTCGCCATCACTGATCTAGGATGTAAAAACAATTTTTTTTTTTCCCCGCTCTTCAAAAGTAGCCACATGAGATAATAGGGTGTTCTTAATAATAAGGAATATGATTTTCGGTCACTCTGATGCTATATTGCCCCACCAAGTGTCATCTTTTTTTGTTGACACAAATACCGTG